CGTCACTTTCTGCTCGACGTAAGCACCTTGTGGAGAAAATTGAGATCGACTTTTTTGATGTTGCTAAAGATGATTGAAATAGTGAAGCATAAACATTTTCTTTTTAATAATTAGCTATAGTTATTTAATCTAATTTGAGACATTTGCATGTTTAAACATAGATTATGAAAATACAACTTAATACCTGTTAATGCATTTTCCATTGCTGTTAGGAATTGTCCTGTTCGTCTAATTTGTCTATAGTCATCAATTTTATATTTTTTATAGTTTTTTTTGCTGATTTAGTTAAATAGATCAATGTGTGTTATAATATATTTGTGTGATACATGATATTCAACTAACATGATACTTTTGACAAAATGGTTTTAGTGTTATTTTTTAAAACAGATTTTTATGGCAGCATTAGTTTTTTACTACTGAAAATATTTTGTGAATAATTTTTTGAGATTTTGAAGGATTTTGGCATAGTGCTCAGCTTCTTCAGTATTATTTAGAGGTTGTTAAGAAATCTGGTCAAAGACCTAGACTATAGGGACATTGGTCAAAAATGAAAAGTGAGAATTCTCTACTTTTATAATTTTTTCTGATATGTATACATGTTCCTATGTTGCATAGAAGTTTTGAGCTCATTTCAATTAAAATATAATTTTTTATGAATTATTTTTAAAGTTGCACAAAAATTGGGCGAAAATCCCTGTACTGTAGTACAGGGAATTTTGTCAAATTTTGTCAAAAATAAAAAAGTAGAAATTCTCCATTTTATAATTTTTTTCTGATGCTTATATATATTTTTATGTAGCCTAAAAATTTTGAGTTCATTCCAATTAAAATTTAATTTTTTATGAATTTTTAAAGTTGCAAAAAAATTAGATACCCTTTGCTTAGCACAGAAACTTTGGTCCAATTTAATCAAAAATGAAAATGTGAAACTTCTCTATTTTTCTGATGCATATACTTGTGCTTATGTTGCTAAAAATTTTGAGCTCATTCTGATTAAAATCAGATTTTAAAAGTTGCTACTGCATTTTAGTGCTTGTCAGCTCCTGAAGCATGCTTTTAGCTCCTGAAATATGCTTTTAGCTCACTTGGCATGCATTATTGAAAATCTTGTGTGTATCATATTAGTTTAACAAGGCATTTGGCACAGTATGAGATCTTAAATAAAAAAGGAAATCACAGAATAGATTTACTAAAGAAATGTCCTTTGATTACTTTACTGCCGATTGGCATTCATTTGTACATGTATTGTAAAATGATGCCAATTTCCCTTAAGTTACATTGTTTACTAAACACAGTGAAGTATACATTTTGCACTTGGATGAAATAACATATATACATTTTACAGATTGTTTTGCATACCGTTTTTATGACCAGACTCACAAACTAGACAACTGTGACATTTTGCTCTAGACACTTTGTTAACGCTAAGCAAGTTCATAGTAGTGCATAAAGTATAACTATACCTTTGATTTCAATAACATTGTTTTGTGTTTAAACTGGTGCTTCTACTCTAAATATTATAACATTTTGTCTATTTATGAAGTATATACTGCATGCAAGTGTCAATAATATGTTCATTATTTAATGGTTCCTTGCTTCATTAGACATATCATTTGCTCTCCTTTCTCATTGTAAGCAGTTACTTTACCATAATACTCACCCTATGAAATAGAATAGTTATAATAATACAGTATATCTGTTGCTCACTGGCCAAAGGTGGCTTGACAATGCAGTATGAGTGTTTAGATAATACATTCCTGGATGTATTGGACAATATTCCTTAATTAAATCATCTAAAAAGTCGCATAAATTGAATTTGTCATCTAAGAAAGTAATATTAGTATAATCTTTGAAGTTATGTGTTACTGTCAAATGCAGTATACCCCAATGTATGGTTCTTTCTATAAATGGATTCAAGTATATTTGTACAGTAATTGTTATTACTCACTGATCTTTAGTACTGCTTTCCAATGTAATGCTCCACCACGTTTTAATGGAAATGGAGTCATAGAATTATTAATAAATTCAACAAATTTTTTGTCAGCTTAACATTAATAAAATATAAATGAATAGTATATTACTGAACTTACAACAATCTGTGATTAGATCTAATCCTTTATTACCAGTAGGTTCTTGTTGTTGATAGTATATATAATTCAAACAGGTATATTATCCATTAGTATAGTAGTCAGTATCTTACCATTGTAGTAATTGTTAGTAGATCCAGTCACTGTAGATACTACAAGTACAACCGATAGGAGCATCAATAGGACACTCATCTTTCTTGTTTGTAAAAGTTTGCTGTTGGTGATGTTGAAAGTGGTAATGTGAATGTTTCCCTTATACATTACATTGTTTTGTTTACTAAACATTGTATGGTGCATGTCTTGTACCTGGATTGAATAACATACCCATTTTTAGTAATTAGTTCCATTTTAGTATGTTGGAGAATGGTCTGGGCGGTGAGGCTATAGCTGCAATTAATG